GTGACAACCATTCAGCCATCCATGCCTGTCGCTTCGTGACAGACAAGATAATATTCTGAAAAAACATGGGATTCGAACCCATGATTGATTTATCCTAGCGAGAAGGGAAACAACTCACCACTGCAAATTAAAGTGACTTAACTACCCGGTGTGGATATATATATATATATATATATGTCACATATGAATTGTTTGATACGCATTACGTAGAAGGTGATGGATGACAAAGTAGACACGATTTATGGATATCCATATATAGGGTCTACTTTACTATGTCACATATGGCTGTGACAATGTGTTATGTAAGAGGAATACACATGACAATAGTCACTTGCACATACAACACTGTATGCTAAGTAACAGCTTACAGCACAAAAGGTACAACAGTTTTGCTTTAGATTTCAGATTTCATCCCACAGGCAAGCTGACAAGGCCTAATGTTAGTCACATATGGAGTGAAATGTTATTTACAGTGTCTTGAGGACTAAGGAGTGACACAATCTCATTAAAATCAGATCTTAGTTTTCGCTACCGCTAAACAAAGATCTGAGGACATCCCATTACGGGTCACGTCAGAACAACCTCTCGCGAACTTTGACCGATCAATGAAATGGCTGACAAGAAATTGACATTAGCCAATCAGAAGGCAGCTTTCTCGAGCTTTACGACACTAGTTTCAGATTGGCGACTACGCTTTGAAACATATTTTGACGTATCCTCGGTTAAAAATGTTAAAACTGATAAAAAGAACACTCTGGAATAGCTTATAGATGGCCTAAATTGTATGGATATAATCATAAAACCCGTAACTGTCGTTCGGAATACCCGCTGTTAAATATTTCGAGGTTGCATGATCAGAATACACATTCCGTCTGTCATGATCCAGTAAGCGACGCTCTAATTGGTTGGATGAAAGGTCGCTCTGACGCGACCCGTAATGGGATGTCCTCAGATCTTTGTTTAGCGATAGCGAGAACTAAGATCTGATCTTAATGAGATTTAATGAGCCTTGCTTTCTTTCTGATTGTACACAGCATGCCTTATCTGTTCTATATTGCACCAACTTCATAATGGATCTGTGATTAATGATGAATATCAAAATATCATGAATACATTACTTACAGTCCATAATATACATGACCATGAAGCTTAATGGGCCTCAAGTTGAAATGATTTCTCAAGAATGAATGACATCTGCCACCACTACCACTGGACGCTTGGTATTATGAGAGAGAAACTTGACAAGGATGAATGACATTTAACCACAACTACAATTGGACACTTGGTGATATGAGAAAGAAATTTGACAAGGATGAATGGCACTTAGCCACCACTACTATTGGCAACTTGGTAATATGAGAAAGAAACTTGCTGAGGATGAATGACATTACAATGGAACCTTGGTTTTTATATCAAGTTTTGTCAAGGCAGCAACATATCATTTTGTTGAAAAATCAGCACATGTTCAATCAAGTATGTGTTTGTTGACCAACAACACACTAAGCAATATTCCAACTATATGATGTGGCGGAAAAATAACTTTTGACTGGAGCATTCAAACAAGGGATTGGTATTACTTCCCGTGCTGTTGGGATATGACCACATGCAATCGACCACTTGACCGTCCTAACCACCCAATACATGTGGTTACCCCTTGAAATAAGTATAGTTTGCTTGGAACCTGTTCTAACCATGAAAGCCCGGCTCAATGAAGTGCATCTTCCCGAGGCAAGGGAGTTTACTGACTATAAAAGTCTAGTCTGTCTTACAGACCCTGATACAAATATACATCAAATACAGCCCATGCAAGTCTATAATGTTTGGCAAGTCTAGATCACTGCAGTATCTGAAAATGAAGAGAGTCACTGGGCTCCTTTTTATTATATTTTATTAAGATAACTGAACAACTAGTTTTTTTATGTACGATATGTTCATTTCAGAGACTAGATTTTAGTCTAATAAAAGTCCAGTTTCCACCCTTGCCGAACTCGGCTGGTATTATGGAGTATTATGGCTGGACTAACAAGACTATGCATAGTCCAATTAAAATCCACACCAAAATAGAAATCTGGTTCGTAAACTGTCATGCATAGTTCGGTCGACAGCAGGATTTGCAAAGCATGTGCACTGCTAACTCGTTGTCAACAAATATTTTCTATATCTTTTCATGTTTTTAATCAAGAGGCTCGTGTGATTTGATGCACTTGGTGATGTAAGACTCGTTTGATCACAATATAGATCTTGATTATCAATCAGATCGTCTTGACTGGGCGCCACTGTTTTGTTTGAAGCAAATGCAAGTGATACGAGAGGTTGAATCTGATTGGTCAATAGGAGAGGCATAGAAAGGACATTACTCGTAATAGCCACTGGTGGCGCTACGATCGAGCCCAGGAATTCCAGCCAAGTTCGGCAAGGGCGGAAACTGGACTTTTAAAGTCAGTTAACTCTCTTGCCTCGGGCAGATGGATTAAGTGATGCTGGGGCCACAGCTGTAACAGTAGCATCTGGACTGTGAGGGCTGATGTAGTGCACCCCCAGCCAGAGTGAATGTGTTCAGTACCGCTTGAACAGTCTTCCAGTTCTACCAGGGCGTGTCAGCTTGATGTGGGAGGAAAGCCTGAAGCGATGCAGGTCACAGATGTTTACCACTTTGGTGAAACATACAAACCTGACAGACCTTGACACAATCAGCATGAACTGGGATTGGTACCCACGATCACAGGTTTCTCGGGACGCAACTCTGCACAACAAGTTGTGGTGCCTTAGACAACTCATCTTCACGAGGCAAGGGCGTTAACAAACTATAAAAGTCCAGTTTCCGTCCTTGCTGAACAAGGTTGGATATCTGGAGTTACATTTTGGCTGGACTAACGAAACTAAGCAGAATCCAACCAAATTGTGTAACAAACTAGACATTCGGTTTGTAAACAAGATGGATTTCAACGTGCAGATTTCAGCCAACTGGATGTAAACTGAATTTTCCAAATCTTTTCATTTTTTAATGAAGGTGCTCAAGTGATTTGTTGCACATCACGGAGTATGACCAGTTTTATTACAATAAAGATCTTGATTATCGATCAGATCGTCTTGACTGGGTGCCACCATTTCAAGCAAATGCAAGTGTTCCGGGAGATTGAATCTGATTGGTCAATAAGAAGGGACATAACTCGTGATAGCCACTGGTGGTGATACGATCGAGCCTGGAAATTCCAGCCTAGTTCGGCCAGGTTGTAAAATGGACTTTTATAGTCGGTCAACGTCCTTGCCTCGGGAAGATGTAGACAACTTGGACACCCATTCCTCCATTAGATATTGCCTGGGGCAGTTCATTAGTAGGCAACATAGTTGACAGACTTGGTGCAACAAGAAGAGGCTGCACAAACAAGGGTTATAGGACAATTGACAAAATGGCACTGACCACTAGCACCAAGACACTCCGACCACTCTGTTGAGTAGAACCAGGGTGGATTCTTACTGAGCTGACACACTAACCATCAAGCTACCTCGTGCCGACCTGTGCAAGTTATCCAACATTATCTAATACTAACATACATGCACACGCTGAATAAGAGAAAAAATAACTCTTACTTCACTGCTTTAACTGCTGTGTGTGAGTACTGCTCATACTGATAATGCTGCTGATAAATCTTGATTCAATTCAACACAAAGCAATCAATCAACATGAAGTGACCCCCACCCCACCCCGCAGCAGGAGCCAGTTCCTTTTCTACCTTCCAAATATCTATCACACAATTCTGTTAACCCCAAATTACCCCAAACGCCGCCATTTTGTATCAATGCAGTACTACTTTCCTCACAACTTATTGCAGTGACACATATTACATGACATAGTACATAACATGCAGTAGGCAGCCGATTACAAGGCCGCATAGAATCAGACAACAGAACAACAGGAATCCACTAACAAGCACGGTTGCTAGGCAGCAAAGATATGATATGCATAGATGAGTTTTTCATGATATTCTCTCACAACCGTAAAATACAAAGATCTAATCCACATTATACACAAGTCTCATATCCTTATATACAAATATACATGACAGGCATATAATGAACATACTGTAATAAGATGACTGACAACATACGAAGAGATGGCTAAAACTAAAATGGCCTAATTGGGTCAAAACTGGGTCATGGGATGGATGCAGTATGGACTGTGGTTTAACAATACTCTAAAACGAGAAATAATACACAGTTATGTTACATTCACATTAATGACAATGTAGCTATATTTGGTCTTGAAATTAGTTACAGTTTAATGTATTACAGTGAGACAATGTGAAATATACCGACATGGAACAGACACCGACAAAAACACCCAGTGTCACATATGATGTATAACAAGGGCAATGTGGTTAACAGTGGCACGAAGCTTGGACCTCAACGCATGTTTGCAGATGAAATGACAGATGGTGATTTTTAAAACATGGTTATCAGAATAATGAAGCATATATGTACGTCATATAATACATCATGGACAATTTAGCAGTTATGATAAACCATACATACTCGACAACACTACATTAGTGCTGAAAATCTGAGAATTAATATATAGCCTATTACAAAAATCAACTTTTATGATCATATATTTAATTTTTTTTATAAAATTGAAAAAGTTCCAATAAATTTTATATTAATAAACTTATCCTAACTCACACACAAGCTGGAAACTTTGTTCTAAGATGTTTCCACACCAAGATCAAAAGAAGAAGGAGATATGCATCGTGTGAGACAGAATAAGTTAAAAAAATGTGTACAATCATAACTCTCTTAAATTACGGAGTCAAAGTCAAGATAAAAATGATGAGTGAGTGAGTTGAGTTTAGCGCCACTTTTAACAGTATTCCAGTCATATCGCAGCGTGTCAGCTTAATGTGGGAAGCAAGCCCGAAGTGATGAAGGTCTGAGACGTTTACCACTTCGGTGAAACCCACGAGCACCGGTCCGGTGCTGACAAACCTAGAAACACAATCAAGGCGAACCGGGATTCAAACCCACAACCATAGGTTTCTGGCGTGCCCAAGGGACGCAAATCTGCACAGCGAATCGCGGTGCCTTAGACGACTGGGCCACCCGTGCCCCCGAAAAAATGATGAAAATAATTTACTTTCTCACATCGTCCCTTAAATACGACCACTGTCCATTATTTGCAATGTCTTCTTTCAAGCGCTCAAGAATTTAATTTTCTTGAATTAATAGTTATTTTCATTATTAAGTTTCCTGTTACGAGTGTAAACCTACAACCAGTGTGCCTAGAATAGCCCATCAAACAGCATATTACAAGTACAAGGAAAACAAAACAGTCGGCAGGAAAAGCTCAATACAGGGAACCTGATAGAAAAATATAAGCATACAAAGCAGTAAGCTGTAAAATGGAAACTTGCATAGCAAACTTTACAACTCGCACAAAATTTACATGTGTAAACAAGTGTCAAAATAGGTAATAAATTAATCCTTGCATTCAGACACATCCAAATCAGTGCAGCAATAAATATGAGGTAAAAGAATGAATATCATTAATGTGTAAGTCTCACCATAGAAGGCGTTACAATTCCTGATCCAATGTAAACGGTTACCAGAGACCAACAATGTTCTTTATACTGGCAGACATAAAGTTCATTTCTGCACACAGAAATGAAGACGTGTGGAATTGCTACCATATTCCTCACAAAACAGACCCAATATTCATATTCAGATCTTTCAATGTATCTACATTGCTTAAGGTCTTGATAAGGGATATATAATTGATTCTGTATCTCTGAAATATAAACCTCAGAGTTTAATGTGGTCATATACTAATGGGCCTCAAGAAGGGAACTTGTAGACTTATAGTAAATATAGGTTCACAGTCATGTCAAAACAGTCAACCCTTGTAAGGTGGCTAATAATAGTGGGTGAGTGAGTGAGTGAGTGATTTGGATATGATGCTGTTTTTAGCAATATTTAACACATTATACCCATGTGGGGAATCGAACCTGGGCCTTCAGCGTGACGAGTGAGCGCTTTAACCACTAGACTACCCTCTCCTCAACATGTTTGAGCAATACATATGGCTGTGATATTGCTGATACAATGTTAAATTTTAACTCACTCACTCTCTATCTGTTCCCTTATTAATTTATTTCAGTATATGTCACCTTGCAAGAACTGAATAACAGATTGCAAAATGTTAAAAATTTTCTCAATCAGGAATCTGGTCTGGATTTTATCAGATCACATTAAGAATAAAATCAAATTAAGCATTTTTTATAATATTAACATCAGCTACCACCTGGCTACATTTCTCCTCTAAGACAGGACAATGTTATAAGTTATCAAATGAGATTCACATGACTTCTTAGCAACAGTTTAATACTAGATAACAGTGCACCATGACATCAGGGCAGTGATTCTAGACATAGCACGACAGTATTGCACTTACATGTACAACAGTCACATTTGCACAGAATATAGGTCAGGCCATTATAAATTAAATATTAGAATTTCATCCCTTCCGGTCAAAAACAACCCTCTTATTGTCTTATTGTCCCGAAATACCTACAGGCAAAGAAAAATGCTATACATTCTTTCTTGTTGATGAGACTTTTCTTGTCCAACAAAACAGCCCTGCTTTGTGTGAATCACACCCGTCGACAGTCAACACACACAGATGCCTTCAAGTGTTTGTTATTAAGATAAAACATACAAAGTAAAATGCCTCCCATCTAAAATTAATTTTGTGGAAATTGGGATGAAAATATATTAATTAATTTATTGAGGCCGTATTTGACATTATACTACCATCTAAAGGAGTTAGTACTAAAAATAAGATTGTCAAAACAAGGCCATATTAATACTTGCAATGGTTAATCTGGGATGACAACTTTGACATGTGGTTCAATATTTCACCTGCGTCATATCATGATACTGTGGGAGGAAAGCCCGAAGTGCCGTAGTTCGGACACATTATCTACAACTTTGGTGAAAACTGAAAGCACAGGCTTGGTATTCATAGACCAAAGTTGGTAATCAGGGCAACACTGGGATTCAAACTCAGGATCAGCAACACTGCTGTCAATTTAGGTGAGCAATAGCAATGATCCACAAAACGATCCTCTTGCTACGATCGTCACAAGCCTACGTTAAAGTATGGGAGTGACCACCATCTTCAAACCAAACTTCAACATACAGAAACAGAGAGATGGTAATTGCAACTGACTGAACAGATGCTACTGCCTTCACTCATACAGGCGTGTCTGCCCAACACCTAGACCACACGTTCACATTATTAAGTTAACCATTAAAACCTGCCTGCATCCGTCAGACAAGTGAGTGGCCATTGCTGAACACCCATCAACAACGTTCAAATTATCTGATGGGAATTATCTGGCTTCATACCCCGATACCATACCTTTCTGTCTACAGGTCTGCTGAACACCCCATCAACAACGTTCAAATTATCTGATGGGAATTATCTGGCTTCATACCCCGATACCATACCTTTCTGTCTACTGGTCTGCCGACGCCTCCACAGGGCAGTTTCTAATATTCACGGATGAGAATGGATATTTTCCTTTTCAGCTGAAATGTCTTTTCAATGGAGCCTGGTCCATAATAAGAGGTGTTTATAGGGGGTTCATCCGAATTTAACAAACATGTGTTTACTAAAATTTGAGGAAATTTGCAGATCGAGAAGATTCTCATCCTTGAATATTCCATTTTTGATGTATGTCTTCTAACACAAAGGAATCAACATACTGTTACTTTCATTGATGAATGTGCAATACAAGAAGCCATACAAACTGGACCAAAACATAAACACAAATAAAAAATATTAATATAAAAAATGAATTAAAGCTTACAGACACTGTTAGGAGAGTACAAACACATCAGGTGGGTCAACAATACCACAGTACAAATAAATAGTCTTGCAGTGTTATAATGAAATGAAAATCTTTTGACTTGCACTTCCCTGTGTTCATCAATGTCAGCATCTGACTTATAGGAACCCACTTGACACGCTGCATACAACTTCAACATAACGGGATCCTTTGCTAACTCATTGTGTTTTAAGATCTATTCATCACTCTGTCCCCAGACATTGCTTATTAACTTCACTGAGTAAGAATAAATGTTGCTTTATCAGGAATAATGCAGTTATAGCAGCAATTAATCTACATAAATATGCTGTGCATTTTCCAGAAATTCACAGATTAAAGTGCATTCGCTATCATTTGAAATGTTAAATTGTTATTAACAAAACATGTTAAATGAAATTGCCTTTGCAATGGTGATCCATTATTCATCCATGTCATAAACTGTTGATTGCAGAATGAGAAACAAAATATTCATATATAAAAAAATCAATTCACAGCGATGATCAACCTTTGTATGTTTTGATGATTAAGCTTTTAGCCTTAACAGTATGTATGAATGAATGAATGAATGAATGAATGAATGTTGTTTTACGCCGCATCAGCAATTTTCCAGCTATTTGCGGCGACCTGAACAGTATGGACAGAACTCTTAAACACCAACACTTGTATTGTGACGTTGTGTTTGGAAACAGAATATATTTTCAACCCTTATACTTTGTTAAAAATAACCACTTTCGTCTAACTTTCCCTGAAACAACACATTTCCTTAGTAAAACCTCAAAACACGAGATCTTCTTAGATTTCAACATGACGGTCTGTACATTGTAGTGGCAGCAGTGTAGTGGCTGACTGTTGCCGGTGTTGCTGCTGCCTGGGGTGTGAGCACCACTTCCATGCAATCTGTCACCTCTCATGTCGTCCAGGCCTGGGTCCCCCACCCCCCTACCCCATGTGAAGATCCTCCCCAACACAATGAGTCTCACCCTGGTGAATGGCAGCCCTCATGACGTCCAGGCCTGGGTCCCCCACCCCCCTACCCCATGTGAAGATCCTCCCCAACACAATGAGTCTCAGGCTGGTGAATGGCAGCCTTCATGAAGTCCAGGCCTGGGTCCCCCACCCCCCTACCCCGTGTGGAGATCCTCCCCAACACAATGAGTCTCAGGCTGGTGAATGGCAGCCTTCATGAAGTCCAGGCCTGGGTCCCCCACCCCCCTACCCCGTGTGAAGATCCTCCCAACACAATGAGTCTCATCCTGGTGAATGTCAGATATATTTCCGTGTTTTTAACTTCTCCACTATGTTACACAGTTTGAGAACAGGGCCGAGTTTCAATCCCATGTACTTCATCATCATATCACTGTTGAGAAGGAGAAACGCCTTCCCGTCGATTTCCTGCAACGGAAAACAACAGCATCAATAGTAGAGAGTAAGTAAGCTTGGTTTAACACTGCTTTGAACAGCATTTCAGTTACATTATTGTACAGATTGATGTAGGAGGAAAGCCATGAGTGATGCACATCTAAGGTGAGGTGAAATGGGGTTTAACGTCGCGTCCAAGATTATTGCACTTATATAGCGACGTGCATGTGTGTGTTTTTGTGTGGCTGCTTGTACTAGTCCTGACTGATGCCGATTCATAGTGCTAGCTCACTGAGATACCATGCTGCAGTTTAACATGAATACCCCACTCAGACACAGTATACTGACTCCGAGCCGACCAGTCCTTGTTTTAGCCCCTTAATGCCGAGCGCCAGACAGGGTAACAACATGTACCATCTTTTAACGTCTTTTGATATGACGTGGCCGGGGATCGAACCCCGGACCTTCTGCTCTCTGGGCGGACGCTCTACCACTAGACCACGGAGGCGGTAGACGCACATCTTAAGATGTTAAACACGTGGGTGAGCCTCATGATTACTGCTATGGTGCTGACAAACCTAGAATCAATCAGGGCAAATCTGGGATTAAAACCCACAATCACAGGTGCCTGTTTACCCTCGTGAGTTCACAAGCAAATATTGTTTTACCCTTTCTACGCAGCTGACTTCATCACCGGAGAGGACAGCAGGATCATATTACAAATGTCTTGATTGTCTGTTGCAACACCCATACCTACTCCAGCCATGCAGTACCAGTGATGGGTATGGACCTGACTTTCATGCTGCTATCTATTTCAGTTCAACCCATGCTTGCCGTAAAAGGCGACAATGCTTGTCGTAAGAGCCGACTAACGGGATCAGGTGGTCAGGCTCGCCTACTTGGTTGATGCATATCATCGATCCCAATTGCGTGGATTGATGCTCATGATGTCAATCACTGGATGGTCTGGTCCACACTTGCTTATTTACAGACCGCCGTCATATAGCTGTAATATTGCTGAAAGCGGCGTTAAACAACAAACAAACAAAGTAATGATTCAAGTATTGCAATAGGTATCACAATATATTGCATTCATTCTTTCAACTGTCATTTGATATCACTCATAATGGAATTACCTTGTACAAGTACTTTGGACAGCTCTATAGATGTTGCTATGGTCACAGGACACAGGGACATGTTCTGACCCAGAATACCAGGTAGACACACACAAGGACCTATACCCACTCTGAATACCCTGTGTTGCAGGGAATGATTCCATATCAACTTACATGTTTCCTAAAGAGGTCTGCATGCTGCCCCAGCCCCGAGTCTGTATCACTGATGTAGCCAATGACCTCCTCTATTGACCACTCGGACGGGTCACCCGAGGGCCGACTTGGACGTACAGGAGGCTGCATGTCCCCAGTAGTGGAACTGGCTGTAAAACAACACACCAGAATTATCTACTGGATTTAAAATGAAGAGAATGCATGGCAATCTTTATCTCATCTCTGGCAATCTTTATCTCATCACTGAGTGAGTGAGTGAGTGAGTGTGTGTGTGTGTGTGTGTGTGTGTGTGTGTGTGTGTGTGAGTGAGTGAGTGAGTGAGTGAGTGAGTGAGTGAGTGAGTGAGTGAGTGAGTGAGTGAGTGAGTGAGTGAGTGAGTGAGTGAGTGAGTGAGTGTAGCAACATTCCAGCAATTTCACGGCTGGGGGGCACCAGAAATGGGCTTCACACATTGTACCCATGTCGGGAGTTGAACCCGGGTCTTGGGCGTGACGAGCGAAGGCTTTAACCATTAGGCTACCCGACCACCCCGAGTGAGTGAGTGAGTGAGTGAGTGAGTGAGTGAGTGAGTGAGTGAGTGAGTGAGAGTGAGTGCGACTGAGTGCGACTGAGTGCGACTGAGTGCGACTGAGTGCGAGTGAGCTTGCTCTCGAATATGAACCAAGTTGACTTTATACATGACTCTAACTAACAGAGTACATACCCTCAGCTTCGTATGTTGAGAATGACCGCCTGGCCAACTTTGGCGGTTTGGAACCTTTGGTGCTATCACCTGACTCTGTGGACCATCTCCTTCGGGGGCCTTTTGGGTTAGGAAATTCAAAGTGGTCTGGATCACCTACAACAGTAACAAGAACACATAATCATGATTACCATCCATATCCCCTTGCAGTAGGAAAAAAGTAGAAATATGCTGAATGTAAACTTAATAATTTCGAATTTCTCGGAAACAACATCCACTACCTCCATTCAATTTCAGGGATGAAGTTCAAATTTGCATCCATGGACAGAGCTAAAATCAAATTATTGAGAAACCATAATAAAAAAAGTCACAATTACAGTTCATAGTGAATGTATGCAACAAGTTTCATAACATAGCCTTTATTGTTTCTGAGTTCTGCTCCGAATATGATTTCAGGACAAATGGAGACATGGACGAGCCCATGGAAGGATGGATGGAGACATGGACGAACCCATGGAAGGATGGATGGAACCAATTTCAGTATCCCTGTCAACTTTGTTATGACAGAGGACAACAAAAGAAAGCTGCTCAGGGAAAAACATACAATTATGTGAGCGAGTTGCCATCAACAACGAAGCATCATTTTGTGAATCAGTGTTTGTAGAATTATGAACCCATGAGAAAATGTCTCATTTAGAGCGACGGCTCGATGTTTGAATGCAACATCATAAGCATGGCGTTTTTGTTTCAACCTAAAGATGAGAATATTTTTTCTGGTCCTCAAAATTCGGCTTATCTGCGGACATATGCGGCAGGTCCATGTACGAAGGGAGGTAACCCTGTTACTACAAAGAAACATGGACTCGACAAAGTGATGGAAGATTCAGAGTATCTATTTGCATATTCCTGCCACATTTGTCACACTTTTCATTATCTGTGAATCATTACATCAGTAAAATATATAAAGTAATAAACAACTTTCTATAATTTTGACTGTGGCACTTGTATTTGTTTCACAACACATATTCAGTGTAAAAGTCTGTGCCCTCCCCTGGAGCTGAAAATGCAGTTTGAAGGCACACTGGATTAACTCATGTCTCCCCTTGTTCAAGAGGCTGCACTGACAACGTTAGAAACTAACAGTTTTAGTCCAAAAGTCCTTATAATAACACATAGCAAAAACCTTTAAAATGGCAAATATCTACTAGTCCTTATGATACCTTAACTATTGGGCAGTTTGCAAGGACTATAGGACTAATGCCAGTTTCTAATGCTGACTGACATTTTTAATCTATGACTGAACATTGAACAGTGTTCATGGTGTTGAAAACAAGACATAATCTAGAAGGAAGCAGTTTTAAACAGTTTAAAAGAAATTCTGTTATATACCAGGGTGTCAGCTTAATGTGGGAGGAAATTGATAAAAATGTCTCATATGCAGGCCTTAGATGCATAGCACTGTGGTGAAACACACACAAGGGTATGAGGCTGACACACTAGGGATCATATCAGGGCCATTCAAGGATTCATGGCCTCAGGTGCGAGCTTGAGTATTGCCTACCTGTCATCTTGCTCTTGGAGCATTTGGGACAGCCTCCGTCGAGCGGCTGACTTGACAGGAAGCTCTCACAGCACCCCATGTCCTCCAGCAGGCGCTCCAGGAAACTCCAGAAGCTGGACACCTTCTCCACCGATATCACCCGCTTCGTCAGCGTCCGGGACCCATGGTTAGCTGCAAACAGTCGAGTGAGTTGGCTTTAACACTACTTTGAACCGAGTTATATTATGTTGGACACCTTCTCCACCGATATCACCCACTTCGTCAGTGTGCGAGACCTGTAGTTAGCTGCAAACACAGCGACAGTTACTTCAACACTATTTTGAACCGAGTTATATTATATTGCGTCAGCTCCACCGATATCACCTGCTTCGTCAGCGTCCGGGACCCGTAGTTAGCTGCAAACACAGCGACAGTTACTTCAACACTACTCTGAACCTTGAGTTATCTTATGTTGCGTCACCTCCACATTAATGAGTGAGAGTGAGTATGGGAGACACTTGAGTTGGGCATCACATATTGAACCCATGTGGGAAATAAAACACAGGACTTCGGCATGATGAGTGAATGATTAAGGCACTTGGCTACCCGGGGCTTGAAAAATCCACTCGTCCCCTCGTACTGACAAGTGGCTGCATGTGCAGAAGGAAAGAAGTGAAGAAACATTTCACTACTGGGCGAGTACATTTATTTCAATCGTATTAATACATCTCTAATAGTTTTAAAAATAATATGCAGGATAATGTCTAACCTAAACCTGGGTTCCTATGTTATCTTATGGGGTACTCATGTTATCACATGGAGCATCTATATGTTATCTCATGGAATACTGGTACCAATATTATCTCATGGCATACTGGGTACCTATATTATCTCATGGCATACTGGGTACCTATGTTATCCCATGGAATACTGGGTACCTATGTTATCCCATGGAATACTGGGTACCTATGTTATCCCATGGAATACTGGGTACCTATGTTATCCCATGGAATACTGGGTACCTATGTTATCCCATGGAATACTGGGTACCTATGTTATCCCACGGAATACTGGGTACCTATGTTATCTTACCCGTGAAGAACCAGGGTGGAATAGGTCTTCAGCAAACCATGCTTGCCGTAAAAGGCGACTAATGGGATCGGGTGGTCAGGCTCGCTGACTGGGTTGATGCATGTCATCGTATCCCAATAGCATGGATCGATGCTCATGATGTCAATCACTGGATTGTCTGGTCCAGAATTGATTATTTACAGACCACCGTCATACAGCTGGAATACTGCTGAGTGCTGCGTTAAACAAAAAAACAAACAAAACCTATGTTATCTCATGGAGTAATGGGTACCTATTTCTGACTCCTCGGTGACATACAATTTATGGTGGGAAACTATTCTGCCACTGATTCTCTAGGCAAACTAAGCTCTGCTACAGCAGTTCACAGCAAAACGCTGCTACAGCGACCTTGCTATTGCCCTCCTTCACCGCTAACCTGAGTCTTTTCACCCCAGTTCATCCCAACATCACGTACCTGTCACAATGACCTTGACATCACCCACAGTTCACCCCAACATCTCGTACCTGCCACAACGACCTTGCCATTGCCCTCCTTCACCGCTAACCTGAGTTGTTACCCCAGTTTATCCCGACATCTCGTACCTGCCACAACGACCTTGCCATTGCCCTCCTTCACCGCTAACCTGAGTTGTTACCCCAGTTTATCCCGACATCACGTACCTGCCACAACGACCTTGCCACCACCCACAGTTCACCCCGCCATCACGTACCTGCCACAACGACCTTGCCACCACCCACAGTTCACCCCGACATCACGTACCTGCCACAACGACCTTGCCACCACCCACAGTTCACCCCGCCATCACGTACCTGCCACAACGACCTTGCCACCACCCACAGTTCACCCCGCCATCACGTACCTGCCACAACGACCTTGACATCGCCCACAGTTCACCCCGCCATCACGTACCTGCCACAACGACCTTGCCACCACCCACAGTTCACCCCGCCATCACGTACCTGCCACAACGACCTTGCCATTGCCCTCCTTCACCATGTTGTAGATGACCCTCTCCTGCAGGGAGCAGTCGATCAAACCCTGCACCACCTCGCGCAGGATCCTCGTCAAGCTGCCAGGGCCGTAGTGACTAGGTAGTTGTAATGTCTTGCGGGGGTTGAGGTAGTTCCCCAGTCGACACGTGGGGTTCACATACACACATACTGGGAACAGAAGGAAAGTTGGTGATTTTACTGATAATTAAAAAAATCCATTTTTTGCAAAATAGATCTTGTGAAAAGAAATGACAATTTATAAGAGTTAAAACCTGTCTGGATCAAAGTAAGTCTGTGGGAGAGACAAACTTCCTTTCCTGATGCTGTTATTACACTATGATGTCGTACAAAGAGAACACTTTAACCTTGATTACCGATCAATAGTATCAATTTCAGTTAGGAATATTGATAGTTTCGATTGTATTTACAATTTCAATAAAATTCACGCAATGCTGTCCAAATTTGTTTTTCTTTTGATCATGAGTAATTTACACATGGTAAATCTTAAATTATTAGGAAAGAGAAAAAACAAATCAGTCATATCTCAAACTTTACTTTTTATTTGTTGTTATGGTTATCATATTCAAAGGAAACTTCAGTTCCAAGGCTTAATTCAACTTTAAAATCCATCTAAAATGATACACTGAAAACTACTGATATTTATCGCAATAGTTTTTGCAATATCAATAGTTATCGCAATAGTGATTTCCAGACCAATAGTCACCCCTAATTAAAAGCACCTGTTCATAAGTAATAGCTATTCTAAAATATATCAGCTCAAGATATTGTGCTTAATTTAGCTTGTGGAAAAGTATTCAGTGTCACGACAGTCATCACTCGTTAGTAAACACAGCGGCCATTTGATTGCAAGTTGAACTCCATGCACGTCAGCAGAGTGGAGAGTTGTGATGGGTGGCATAGAGTATAGCAAATCGTAGCATAGATAGCTCCGCATATCCGATTTTGCTGTGAGGAGCCTGTTACGTGTGGGAGGAAGGGAGGTAACTGAATCTAAACTAATGTACAGGGCAGATCCTGAGAGATCATCAGTAAGTACTGTTTGATATTGATAAAACATACAAAGAGCAAGAGTACTAGACACCACATCAAAACTATTGTTTCTTTTAAGTGATAGGTGAATCGAGCTGCTTTTAATACTCAGTTGTACAGTTATTCCATTCACTGCACAATGAAAATACCACTGAAAATAAGAAGTGTCAAAATGTTAAAACTGTGCCATTCTTGACAAGACAATTGCATATCTATGATGAATCTCTGCCTCATCGTTCCGACAACATTTTGTAACTAATTGATTAGATTGTCACCTGTTGCAGTGCTCCGTGAGGAGCTTGTGTCTGGCTCGGAGACGGTGATAAATGTCCCTACATCTCACCTGTTGCAGTGCCCTGTGAGGAGCTTGTGTCTGGCTCGGAGATGGTGATAAATGTCCCTACATCTCACCTGTTGCAGTGCCCTGTGAGGAGCTTGTGTCTGGCTCAGAGACGGTGATAAATGTCCCTACATCTCACCTGTTGCAGTGCTCTGTGAGGAGCTTGTGTCTGGCTCGGAGATGGTGATAAATGTCCCTACATCTCACCTGTTGCAGTGCTCTGTGAGGAGCTTGTGTCTGGCTCGGAGACGGTGATAAATGTCCCTACATCTCACCTGTTGCAGTGCTCTGTGAGGAACTTGTGTCTGGCTCAGAGACGGTGATAAATGTCCCTACATCCCACCTGTTGCAGTGCTCTGTGAGGAACTTGTGTCTGGCTCAGAGACGGTGATAAATGTCCCTACATCCCACCTGTTGCAGTGCTCTGTGAGGAACTTGTGTCTGGCTCAGAGACGGTGATAAATGTCCCTACATCCCACCTGTTGCAGTGCTCTGTGAGGAACTTGTGTCTGGCTCAGAGACGGTGATAAATGTCCCTACATCTCACCTGTTGCAGTGCTCTGTGAGGAGCTTGTGTCTGGCTCGGAGACGGTGACGACAGGTGAGGCAGCCTCCCGGGGAGACAACTGCTGCTTCTCGGGGGACACTGACGGACTAGTGGGGCTGGGCTGGGGGGTGCGACTGTGGGAGGAGGAGTTGGTGATGGGGAGGGGCTGTGGAACTGTCAGCTGGAGGGAAGAGTCTTTCATCATCTTGTTGATCTTGTATTGGGGCACCCCTGGTGAGAATACAGACACATCAAAGCAACTGAATGACATAAATCACAGGCAGGGAATTGGAATAGAGAGAAGGTGATTGCAATTCAACAGAAGATTATCACCACTGGTCAAACAGTGCATGCAGAGTTTGCACAGTACCATAAACACACAGGCACACCAAGGTTTGCACAGTACCATGAACACACAGGAACACCAAGGTTTGCACAGTACCATGAACACATAGGAACACCAAGGTTTGCACAGTACCATGAACACACAGGAACACCAAGATTTGCACAGTACCATGAACACACAGGAACACCAAGGTTTGCACAGTACCATGAACACACAGGAACACCAAGGTTTGCACAGTACTATGGATCCACTGAGTGGACCAATGTTCGCACAGTACCATGGATCCACTGAGTGGGCCAATATTTGCACAGTACCATGGATACACTGAGTGGGCAAATGATCACACAGTACCATCGATCCACTGAGTGGGCCAATGTTTGCACTGTATCATGGATCCACTGAATGGGCCAATGTTTGCACAGTACTATGGATCCACTGAGTGGACCAATGTTCGCACAGTACCATGGATCCACTGAGTGGGCCAATATTTGCACAGTACCATGGATACACTGAGTGGGCAAATGATCGCACAGTACCATCGATCCACTGAGTGGGCCAATGTTTGCACCGTATCATGGATCCACTGAATGGGCCAATGTTTGCACAGTACGATGGATCCACTGAGTGGGCCAATGTTTGCACCGTATCCTGGATCCACTGAGTGGGCCAATGTTTGCACAGTACGATGGATCCACTGAGTGGGCCAATGTTTGAACAGTACCATGGATCCACTGAGTGGGCCAATATTTGCACAGTACCATGGATACACTGAGTGGGCAAATGATTGCACAGTACGATGGATCCACTGAGTGGGCCAATGTTTGAACAGTACCATGGATCCACTGAGTGGGCCAATGTTTGCACAGTACGATGGATCAACTGAGTGGGCCAATGTTTGAACAGTACCATGGATCCACTGAGTGGGCCAATATTTGCACAGTACCATTGATCCACTGAGTGGGCCAATATTTGCACAGTACCATGGATACACTGAGTGGGCAAATGATTGCACAGTACCATGGACAGATACAGAGGCCCACAGACATGTTTGCATGTGTGTTGTTTTACACCATAGTAATATCACAGAAGCCTGCAAACAATATGGGCAAGGAGGCGTAACCTCAACGAGCACGCACATTATGACAACCATGAATGAGTACTTATGCCAGAGACCCAGAAGGTCTTCAGCAACCCATTCTTGCTGTAAAAGGCGACTATGCTTGTTGTAAGAGGTGACTAACAGGATCAGGTGGTCAGGCTTGCTGACTTGGTTGATGCATGTCACCATATCCTAATTGCATAGATCAATGCTCATGATGTCAATTACTGGATTGTCTGGTCCAGACTCAATTATTTACAGACCGCCTTCATATAGCTGGAATATATGCTGTGTGTGGCGTTAAACAACAAACAAACAAAAACATAACCAGGAGCAAAACTACCTCACGATCTAACTGCCACAGTCAAAACACAGCCCTCACCTTTCTGCCCTGGAGGTTGCAAGGGGTGACCACTCTGTGCACACCAGCCCACAGGGAAGATGTCCCGGAAGTCATATCTACACCAGTAGTCGAAGGCCCCCCTCCATCCATCAAAGGTGACGTGTATCTGGTCCACATTGATTGCTCCCACAGTGGCAGGGCAGATCAACTGGGGGTTTTTCCGGTCCACGGCCTCCAACTTCTGACCAACCTTAAACTCATTTGTCTTTGGCATTGATGGTTCCTGTTATTAAAAAAATGTCATCAATAAGATGGTTTACTAGTCTTAACATTATGGTTTCAAACCAGCGCTCAATCAGCACAACCTGGCTTTTATTATGAATACATGATACGTTAAGCTGAACTGCATTTCTCAATCATGTTCTATTCTGTCATGTGGACTTCCAACCCGCATCTTCCCGATGCAAGAGAGTTTCCATCCTTGCCGAACTAGGCTGGGATTATGGAGTTACATTTTGGCTGGACTAACGAAATCGAAATCCGGTTCGTAAACTGTCATGCAGAGTTCGGTCGATTGCAGAGTTTGGTCGATTGCAGGATTTGCAAAGCATGTGCATCGCCAACTCGTTGTCAACAGATATTTTCCAAATCGTTTCATGTTTTAATTAAGGTGCTCACGTGATTTGATGTACTTCGCGAAGTAAGAACCGTTTTATCACAAAATAGATCTTGATGGTCTATCAGATCATCTTGACTGGGCGCCACCATTTTGTTTGAAACAAATGCATGTGATACGAGAGGTGGAATCTGATTGGTACATATGGGAGAGGCATAGAATGGACATAACTCGTAACAGCTACTGGTGGCGCTACGATCGAGCCCAGGAATTCCAGGCTAGTTCGGCAAGGGTGGAAACTGGACTTGTAAAGTCAGTTAATGCTCTTGCCTCGGGAAGATGTCCAACCCATTGCTTACAAACAAATCTTTATTTTAACATAGGCCAAATTCTGAGCTTAACATACTGCACGATTTGATTACAAAATATGGATCTCTGTGTGAAACTTAAGGCGGCAATGATAAGTAAAAATGCCTATGTTTTATTCCATTTGTCACACAACAAATGCATGCCATTTATTTTGTGTCCTGCTGATAGAGAAAGGTTAGAAGCTTACATTATTCACAGTACAGATTATCATTGTTCCTCATTAGCTGCTGAGTCAGCACTATCTACCAGGACCTTCTGCTTCACACAACGATTTAGAGTAAGCAATGAGAAGCACAATTTCTCTGGCTGTTTGTAGAGACAAATATATACCAAATGGCCCAATCACTGAGCTTGTTGCTAAAGTAAGTAGCTCAAAATAGTCTTCATGTCATACTCCTATAATAAAAACAACCAGACAAAACTGTGCACATACCTTTTTGAAACATCTATCGGGGGCTATTTCTGCACCATTTAACGACCGTTTCAGGAACATAGGCCACGAGGAGGGGTTTGCTCTGAAACCTGGAAAACAAAAAAATGTCACTAAGATTTTGATTCTTATATGGTTTAACACCGCTTTTAGCAATATCCCACAATATCATGACGGGGAACAGCGGAAATGGGCCTCATACATTGTGCCCCAGTTGGGAATTAGCCCTGTCCTTTAATGTGATGAGCAAACGCTTTAACCTCCAGCCTACCCTAAGCCCCTATTCTGACTGGAACTCAATGGGCACATCAGGGACAACAGGTGAGGTGATGGGGTTTAACGTCGCGTCCAGGATTATTGCACTTATATAGCGACGTGCATGTACGTGTGTGTGTTTGTGTGGCTGCTTGTACTAGTCCGGACTGATGCCGATTTATAGTGCTAGCTCACTGAGATACCATGCTGCAGTTTAACATGAATATCCCACTCAGACACAGTATACTGACTCCGAGCCGACCAGTCCTTGTTTTAGCCCCTTAATGCCGAGCGCCAGACAGGGTAACAACATGTACCATCTTTTAACGTCTTTTGGTATGACGCGGCTGGGGATCGAACCCCGGACCTTCCGCTCTCCGGACGGACGCTCTACCACTAGACCACGGATGCGGCCCAGGAACAACAGTCAACAGCATAGCAAATGTACCCAGTTCTTACATGTCATTAATTGAAAGGAGTTTTATTCTCATCCATGCTTATCTCCCTTTACCTAGAGGGGGCTGCAGCAGACCGCCATGTTTTTCACAGTAACCAATAGGGTGTAGGTCACCAGCATCTACCAGCCGCCAGAAGTCATTCTTGTTGTCACTGCCGTCAAGTCGCAACCTCAGACGTGGGCCCTGAATTCCCACGACTGTTGCTACACAGATGGACGTCAAATTGCGAGGGTCGGCAGCTTCCAGCTTGTGGTTCACCTTGAACTCATTTACTGGTGGGACTGCAGACTGAAACGTGAAATGATACCGTTATTTCCTGATCACTACTGAAACTGAATATACGAACAACAGAATCAAAATGAATGAATATTATCACTTTTTGTTAATGGTAAAATGTACAAAATCCACTAGGTTTTGTTTATTGTTTACACGCAGCAATATTCCAGCTATCTGACTGCTGCTTGTGAAAAACAGAGTCTGGGTCAGACAATCCAGTGATTGATATTATGAATATACGAACAAAGAACAACAGAATCAAAATGAATTAAAATTATCACTTTTTGTTAACATGGTTAATGGTAAAATGTACAAAATCCACTATGTTTTGTTTATTGTTCCAACTTAACATGCAGCAATATTCTCGCTATCTGACTGCGGCTTGTAAATAATAGAGTCTTGGTCAGACAATCCAGTGATTGATATTATGAATATACGAACAACAAACAACAGAATCAAAATGAATGAAAATCATCATTTGTTTTTGTTAATGGTAAAATATACAAAATCCACTATGTTTTGTTTATTGTTCAACTTTACACGCAGCAATATTCAAGCTATCTGACTGCAGCTTGTAAATAATAGAGTCTGGGTCAGACAATCCAGTGATTGATATTATGAATATACGAACAACGAACAACAGAATCAAAATGAATGAAAATCATCATTTTTTTTTTGTTAATGGTAAAATGTACAAAATCCACTACTTTTGTTTATTATTCCAACTTTACACGCAGCAATATTCCTGCAATGTGACTGCGGCTTGTAAATAATCGAGTTTGGGTCTGACAATCCATTGATTGATATTACAAGTAACGTCCAATGCCATGAGATGCCAACCCTATTTGGAGCTTTGGTGAAATCAGTGGGGTAAAAAGTGTAAGTTCATGTGAAAACGAGTAATGTTAAGAGTACCATGCCATGATCTGTTTTTTTATTCAACATTTTCGTTCGGCCTATATGTACGTGAGCGAGTATGGTTTTATGCTGCTTTTAGCAATATCACAGTGAGAGACACCAGAAATGGGCTTCCCCCATTGTACTCTTGTCGTGAATCGAACCCGGGTCTTCAGCGTGACAAGCGAACACCCTTACCACTAGGCTACCCCCAACCGCCCCTCTAGGTACGTGAAACATGCGTTCACATTCATTGACGCCAGTAATGAAGCTGCATACACAAGTCACACGATTTTAAAAACAGGGTGATAAAGCTCAAAATAAGCAGAAAAAATTACTCTGCTTGCGTTGTATCATTAAATATGACTTAACCTAAAAATTGAAAATCAATCGAAACATAAAAAAGGGACATCAACACGAAAAAGTTCTCAAAAATAGAACTTCCAATAACGTCGTGGACAACCTCATAAGCAGCATCCATTGGGGCCACATTTAAAAAAACATGTATTTTGAATATCTTTGGGAATCATAGATTACAAATCACTTAAGAAAGCATTTAATTGAAGCTGTTGTGTGGGGCAAGCCCAAAATCCCCCTGTTATTTTGGCGAGGTGAAAAAAAATGGCGTTGGAAACACTGCATTCATGCCGATACACGTAGTCCGAGCTCCACACATTCATAAAATTCATCATGTGACAATATTGACTGTATTGAGTTCCTAAGAAATATCGGTGTACATGCAGTTAGCTCCCTGTAGAATACTTCATGTGATCGGTGTATTAATAATTTTGCTCTCTGTGATATTTTGTATATGTAAATAACTTGTGAAAGAAATGTCAAAAATAGTAATTTTGGCAGGATAAGCGTAATAGCGTAATATTTGGCCCAAAAGCGTAATTATTATGCCAAAGTGTAATGATTGGCATTTCTGCGGTTGGTTGGTTTGTTGTTTAACGCCGCACTCAGCAATATTCCAGCTATATGACGGCAGTCTGTAAATAATCGAGTCTGGAACAGACAATCCAGTGATTGATATCATGAGCATCGATCCACGCAATTTGGATCGATGACATGCATCAACCAAGTCAGCGAGCCTGACCACCCGATCACGTTAGTCGCCTTTTACGACAAGCATAGTCACCTTTTGCGGCAAGCATGGGTTGCTGAAGACCTATTCTACCCATGCTTGCCGCAAAAGGATGCAATGCTTGTCGTAAAAGGCGACTAACGTGCCACTGGAATACAATTACAAACATTCAACCAAGTCCCAGAGTTCGAACAACAGATACAGTCTCTTCTTACAGCCAGCATATGGTGCTGGGGACAATTCTAAGCCAGCAGCCCCATACAACAAGAATGGATGCTGACGACCTGCGAGGCACCAGACTCTCCTCAGGGTCACAACATCAAGTTCGCAATTTACGACCTACCTGTTTAAAACAAGAGTTTGGGGCTGCAACCTCATTGCTCTCCTTCAAATAGTGATCCCAAGAAAAGTTACCTGTGGAAAATGATACAGTAGGGTTAGAACCATTACAAATAATTGTGTGAGTAGTGGCCATGTTGAACCTGGAAACTTTGTTCAAGCACATTTCCACATAGGATCAAAAGAAGAAATGCATAATGTGAGATACGATACTGTATTCGACATAATAAGCGCATGGGGCGCTCTCAAAATTAGAAATAGGGGGCTCTTATAAGAATATAATTTTGGTGAGAAAAAAAGTAGTAAAAGTGAAAGATTGTATATTTTATAGTTAATGCTGACAGCCTGAGATGATACAAAGCAAAGTATGTGTCATACACAACAGATATATGTTCCAGAATTAAACTGCCCATAATTAAGGGTGTATATTACACATTACATAAGTCTTGTGTACATTGATCAATCGGAAGGGGTGCTAATTGGGATTGTTCATGGATCACTAGCCATTATATTAGCATATATATCGCTGTGGGCGCTTATTACGTCGAATACGGTAAGTGTAAAAATTTGAAATGATGTCACAAATAAAAATAAAACAAACATGTTCAGTTTTCTTACCATACGTTAAAAATAGATGCTCAATCACCAGCACTATTGGGAGAAAACAAATAGTCCTCTTAGATTTTCATGTGTCTTGCACTTGCAGCTGTCTACATTGTCAAACCCTGAAAATCAGTGTCACTGGATCATGCATATATCTACCCACCTCCAAATTCATATTGGTGAAAGGACCCTTTGGAGTTTGAGGTGTTGGCCATTTCTGCCTCTATAGGAAACACTTGACAGTCTGAAAACATACCAAAATACATCACTGTCATACAATGTCACTAGTCTCAAGTAAAGTCTACATCAGAGGTGTGGAAATCAAAATAAGTATTCACTTGTTGTTCAGCGGTGCACTCAGCAATATTCCAGCTACATAACGGCGGTCTGTACATAATCGAGTCTGGACCAGACATTCCAGTGATTGACTTCATACGCATCAATCTACACAATTGGGACACAATGAGATTATCAACCAAGTCAGCGAGTCTGACCAACCGATTCGTCACCTGTTAGGGCAAGCATGGGCATTGTATACCTGGATCTTCACTGGTCTCATAGTGATAACTAATGTTATGGCTTTGCACAGGTGAATTGTATGAAAGTGACCATTTTGAGGAATATATACACGATTGTTGACATTCCTCATGCTCTGTTTCAAAGTACATATATACATTCACTTCAATGATAGAACATACCTATCAAGCCTTTGATGAAAAGACATAGAGAGGTCCCTAAATAATGAATTGAAGAAATGGATCAGTAGTTGATGCGGGCTCTCAAGCCACAGATTGAACTTTATTGTTTGATATAACAAAATAGAGTATATTGAATTACAATGTTATGGCAGAAAATGATATTGATATGTACAGTATCAATCTTCAATTTAGTGCATCCTGTAAAAATCTAATTCAGTAGCTAACAACAATAATGAGGTCTTACAGTCCAGGCAGGACCCTACATCTCCTCTTGACTGTCAGACCCAACCATGACTCTCCACTATAATATATATTCAGATAATATTATTGTTCGCAACAGATACATTGTCAGTGATATATAATATATTTGAACATGCAAAATGCTACAAATTCATAATGGTATCAGTCAAGCCATGACCAATAGTTAATTTCAGTTACTCTATCAAATATTGATTACAACCTGTACTAGATTAATTTCGTTCAATTCAGTCATGATAACAATCGTAAGTGTGGATGAAGCTTGTGGAAATAACACACTGTGTTTAAAATACGTCAAGTTGCTAAACTACTACCTCCGTGTAACGTTCTCATGTTTGGCATCTCCACATATATACTTTGTCTGAGAAATTCTATATTACAGCATATGTTCCACAGTCCATGTTTCACGCGCCTTGGTCGGTCTTAGTCTCATCGTGCAACTGGCATTTAAAGTTTTATCTAAACATGGCGGTTGAAAATCGACTGGTAGACCCACGAGTTAAAAAAGTTCAAAACCGCAAGAAAACAAAAGTATATGTAAATAAAAAGCACACAATAAAACATCACATCTGATATGTTGTCATTTAGTGACGAATGGTCAAGTTGTCCTAGACGCTGATAACATCAATATTGATTCGAAGAATTTACATCTTGGTAATGGCTTCAAATTATCTCTGTTTAATCTGCTACACTTTACAACATTCGGGATCTACCTTCACAGAACCGTAGGAAAGTTTCTCGGATACCTTTTTCCAAACATTTCCTAAACTGTTATTACCTACAAATATTACTATTCACTTGAACACAGTCATCCCGGCTTCGCATCAACAACAAGCCGCCATTTTATTTACTCATCAGTGACGCGAGAATGCGCGTGGGTAGTGTTTTCACGACAACTATCTAACAGTTGTATTGATTTCAATGTGTTTGTCTTGTAAGTGCGACGAAAGTAAATGTACGTGAATTTTTCTAATTGCCATGGAAACGTCTGACAAAATCATAATGTTGAAGGTCAAAGTATTTTTAATTTCTAGAGTATTCGTACGAATATCTCACCAGCGATCACGCAACTATATGGAAAAGGCTGCGAATGATCAATTTACTTTAAAACCAATCGAGCGTTTTCTAATTGTGCAAATGCGATGATTCATTTGAGAGCAATGCTTTATAATAAATCATTTCAGCTGAAGCGCATTCGCTAGCATGTCCTAATTCACTGAAAAGATTTGTGAATGATTATGTTCAATAAAGAGGCAAATATATATTTTCTATGCATCATATATAATATTCGCAATGTTAAAATATGCAACAAATAATAGAAATAGAATAAGAAATTTATTGAAATTATTGGTTCAATAGTTTAATTTCACTTTATTCTTTTGTTTGTTATGCGAATATTGATCTTCACAAATTCCGAAAATAGATAAAAACATATACCACCGAAAAAATATAATATATGTTTCCACATAAGATTTGATGCAACCCATATGAGCTCTAGTATGGTGCTGACAACCCCAGAAACACAATCGGAGTGAACAGGGATTCGAACCCACGATCATAGGTTTCAGCGTGCCCAAGGGACGCAACTCCGCACAATTAAACGACTGGGCCACACGTGCCCCCTGGTCAGTGGTGGACCCAGAGGAGCTCTTTAAAATCCTGGATCCGCCCCTGCGGGTTATTGTGATTTGAAATAATCGCGTCTGGACCAGACAATCCAGTGATTGACATCATGAACATCGATCCATTTGGATACGACGACATGCATCAACCAAGTGAGCGAGCCTGAACACCCAATCCCGTTAGTCGCCTTTTACGGTTGGTTGGTTTGATTTTTAACGCCGCACTCAGCAATGTCCCAGCTATATGACGGCGGTCTGTAAATAATCGAGTCTGGACCAACATAAGAAAGCTAAAAGACGTAATACTTCAGCTGATTGGGCAAATTTTAGGCTGTTAAGAAATAAAGTAGTCGACTATGTCCGTAAGGCAAAGAAGGCACATGCATCTAATATTGATGCTGTAATAATTAGTTCTCATGGTACAAAGACTTGGTGGCGTTTAGTAAAGGAATTTCTTAAATTTAAAACTGCAAAACACAAGTTTCCCCCAATTCTATTTGGGGATAGGTTGTATGATAATTCCATGGATATTGCTAATATTCTCAATAACTTCTTTGTGGACCAATCTCGAATATGTAATTCTGATATGCACCTTCCCCCCGAAGAATTAGATAAAGTTGAAAATCCATTAGTAAATATAATTTTGATGGAAGATGAAGTTAGGGATATAATACTGTCTGTGGACACCACAATGGCTTCTGGCCCTGATGGTATTGGAAATAAAGTACTTTAAACACAGCCAATTTCTCTCTTAAACGAGCAATATTTCCATCACTATGGAAAGAAGCTCCATCATTCCTATTTATAAGAAGAATAGCGTGAATGAATGTACACATTAAAGACCGGTTGCGCTCACAAGTTGTTTAGCAAAGATATTTGAAAAATGTATATTTAAACATGTGTACAACTATTTAAGGAATAATAATATGCTCACTAACCTACAATCTGGATTCACGCAGGGTGACTCCACCTCAAATCCGTTGACATATATATATGACTTTATTGCAAAGGATTTAGATGAAGGTAAGGAAGTTAGAGCTGTATTTTGTGACGTAAGTAAACCTTTTGATAAAGTTTGACACAAAGGAATAATTTATAAGCTACCCCATTATGGTATTTGTGGAAATGTACTGAGATGGTTTGATAGTTACTTAGAAAATCGACATCAAGAAGTAGTTATAAATGGCTATAGCTCAGATCCAAATGCTGTCTTGGCAGGTGTGCCACAGGGCTCGGTCCTAGGACCATTATTGTTTATTATCTATATCAATGACATTGTTGAAGGAATTCATAGTAATATAAGACTTCTTGCTGATGACACATCGTTGTATGTTATCATAGAAGATCCTGATATAGCGGCTCGTGATCTCAATAATGACTTGGACAGAATTTCAGAATGGGCTGCCAGATGGCAAGTTAAATTTAGTCCCGAAAAAACTGAATCTATTCAGTTTACCCTAAAGTAAACCCTAGTCGCAAACCTAACGTATATATGAATGGTACAGAAATCAAATATGCACATTTATAAGCACCTTGGTATGACTTGACAAAGTAATTGTACATGGAAAATGCACATTGATGATGTTTTAAGGAAATGTTGTCCTCTGGTTAACTGTTTAAGGAGTTATAAATATCGTCTATCCCCAACTACCTTAGAAACTATGTACAAATCATTTATTTTACCAATTTTTGATTATTGTTGTCATATTTGGGACAACTGTACTAATGAACAAGCTAACTTATTGGAAAAATTACACTTAGATGCTCTTAGAATCATATGTGGCGCTGTCCGGGGTACGGGTCATCAGAAGATTTACAATAAAACAAATTGTAGGTCATTAAAAGACAGAAGATACAATTTAAAACTGGTAATGTTTTACAAAATGAATAACCATTTATCCCCGGAATATCTTTGTAGGCTTATTCCTAATACAGTTTCGGAAAACACAAATTATGACCTAAGGGATAAAACTAATCTTCAAACAGTGAAGTGTAAAACAAAAGCTTATGCAGATTCATTTAGGCCAGCTGCAACACAACTTTGGAATATGTTACCAGAAAACCTAACGGGGGCAGACACCGTTACACAATTTAAGAATTTGCTTCACGTAAAGCGAGATAATAGTATACACTGGGATTTAAATCATGGAAGCAGATTATGCCAAATCATTCACAGTCGCCCCAGGCTTGGCTGCAGCGATCTTAACGCAGATCAGTTTAATAGACATATCTTTGATACAAAAACTTGTTCCTGTGGATATCATACCAAAGATGCTCTACACTTCTTTTTTGTGTGTACAAATTACTATGCTCTTCGAAATGAAATGTATTTTTACCAACATGATTATTCTTTATAAACAGTGCTATGCGGAAATTCGGATTTGGGTAAGGAAGAGCAAATGCTAATATTAGATTCTATTCAACACTTTATATTAAAAACTGGCAGATTTTCAGTTAAATGATTGTTTAAAATAAACTGCAAATAGATTTATTATATATACACATCTAGCTTGGCATGTACAATTTATTTGTTACATCTAACCTTCATTTATGTATTTATTGTAATATGTCCTATGTGTAATGGAGCGGTATTAACATAAGCGCTTCGCTTGTTTACCAATCCATTTTCACACTTTTGTGAAAATAAATATGTTTAAACCATATCGCAGCGTGTCAGCTTAATGTGGGAGGAAAGCCGGAAGTGATGCAGGTCTAAGACGTTTACCACTTCGGTGAAACCCACGAGCACGGTTATGGTGCTGACAAAAATCATAAGTAGATGAGAGTGATCACGTGTCGTGTATTGAGATAGGGTCGGAGGGTGGAGGGAGGAGGGAGGAGGGCCGGATCCGACGGAGGGTGGAGTTTGATACACCCAAGGCGTAGATAATTGAGGAAAGGGTGGGTAGTAGAGTATTTATATTTAAGGAGACCAAATATTGTGCAGAACTATTGATAGCACTCATGTAATTCTAACACATTTTGTGAGTTTGTTCTTGGCGTCGGCTACCGGCCACCAAATAAGGCAATTGTATCAGAATGCGGAAGGCATCTGAGTTATATACACTATCAATGTAGGGTTATCTCACACTGGAAACGTTTGCTCAGACAACCAGGTACACGATACTCTAGACGATGCTAGTACATGCTTAAGCGCCTTGATGACTTTGGGGATATAAACTGGGCCTTAGCTGTTAGAAAAACTCTTTTTTCGCATGGATTTGCATACGCGTGGATATACCAGGACGTTGGAAATAAAATAACGTTATTAACAATGTTTAAACAACGATGTAAAGATATGCTTTGTTTGTTTGTTTGTTTGTTTGTTTGTTGTTTAACGCCGCACTCAGCAATAATCCAGTATATGACGGCGGTCTGTCAAATAATCGAGTCTGGACCAGACAATCCAGTGATTGACATCATGAGCATCGATCCACGCAATTGGGATACGATGACATGCATCAACCAAGTCAGCGAGCCTGACCACCCGATCCCGTTAGTCGCCTTTTACGACAAGCATAGTCGCCTTTTACGGCAAGCATGGGTTGCTGAAGACCTATTCTACCTCGGAATCTTCACGGGTAATATTGTCAAGGCTGGTCAGCTGATATCAGATGTTCAAAATCGCTACATGCCTATTCAATGTTTAAGATTGAAATAATACCGGAAATGTATTTAACAACTATTCGATCTCTATCTTTACGCAGATGTTTAACGAAGTTCAGGTATGGTATACATACCCTCCATATACAGTTATACAGACATTCCAAAGATACTGATGTTTTAACATCGATGTGTCCTTTAATGTTGTTAGAAAAGATTAAAAGTTTCAATTCCTTAGAATTACTTTCAAAATTGCATTTCTTATTAAAAACTATTTCACAAAAAATGTGTACAGATTTTATTGAATGATGGATAGTTTTACTTTAAATGTATATGTTGTAACAATGATGACGCTGAATTGTAACAGTTGTGACTAGGGATTTTGAACAATATGAAAGAATATCGTGTAACTTAGTGTTGTAATTTAAATAGCTGTTTTACAAAACTTGACATGAATTGAAGGATTGGGAGACATATTTTCTCCAATATTATGAGACCCGTGAAGATTCCGGGGTAGAATAGGTCTTCAACAACCCATGCTTGCCGTAAAAGGTGACTGTGCTTGTCGTAAAAGGCGACTAACGGGATCGGGTGGTCAGGCTCGCTGACTTGGTTGATGCATGTCATCGATCCC